CCTCGGCGCGGTCTCCGACGCCGGCGCGCTGGACGGGGCCGCGTCGCTCGCATTGGCGGCGCCGACGGCGTGCCTCCTGGGCTACGGCATCGCGCGCCTCGGCGACAGCGGCCTCAAGGAGCTGCGGAACTACGTCTTCGCGGCCGTGTCGCAGCGCGCGATCCGCGTTGTCGCGCGGGGCGTCTACGAGCACCTGACGGCGCTGGATTTGGCCTTCCACCTGGACCGCAAGACGGGGCAGCTGAGCCGCGTCATCGACCGCGGCGCGCGGTCCATCAACTACCTCGTGTCGATGACGCTCTTCAACGTCGCGCCGACGGCGCTGGAGATCGCGCTCGTGACGTCCATCGTCTCGTTCAGCTTCGGCCCGGCCCACGCCGCCGCGGCGCTGGGCACGGTGTCCGCCTACGTCGTCTTCACGGTGACCTACTCGAACCGGCGCATCCCGATTCGAAAGCGGATGAACGCGGCGGACGCCAAGGCCTCGGGCCACGCCATCGACACGCTCATCAACTACGAGAGCGTCAAGTACTTTGGCAACGAGGCGCGCGAGGCGGCCAAGTACGACGCGCTGCTCGCCGGCTACGAGACGGAGGCCGTCGAGGTGCAGCGGACGCTGTCGATCCTCAACTTTGGGCAGCAGGGCATCTTCGCCGTGGGCCTCGGGACGATCATGCTGCTCACATCCGACGCCATCCTGCGCGGGGAGGCGTCCGTCGGCGATCTGGTGCTCGTCAACGGCCTGCTGTTCCAGCTCGCGATCCCGCTGAATTTCGTCGGCATGGTCTACCGCGAGATCCACCAGGCGCTCGTGGACATGGACGCCATGTTCGAGCTGCTGGACAAGGAGCCGGGCCCCGTGGCGGCGCGGAGCCGCGACGAGCGCGAGCGGGTCATCGGCGCGCCGCCGGCGGTCGTCTTCGACGACGTGTCGTTCGCCTACGAGCCCTCCCGCAAAATCATCGACGGCCTGTCCTTCGAGATCAAACCGGGCGAGACCGTGGCCATCGTGGGCGCGTCGGGCTGCGGCAAGTCGACGCTCCTGCGGCTCCTCTTCCGCTTCTACGACGTCGGCGGCGGCCGCGTGACCGTCGGCGGCCGCGACGTCCGGGACTACGACGTCGGCGACCTGCGGGACGCCATCGGCGTCGTGCCCCAGGACACGTCGCTCTTCAACGCGACCATCGGCGAGAACATCCGCTACGGCGACCCGCGCGCGTCCGACGCCGCCGTCGAGGCCGCGGCGCGCGCGGCGAACCTGACGCCGCTGCTGGACTCGTTGCCGGACCGCTTCGACACGGTCGTCGGCGAGCGGGGGCTCAAGCTCTCCGGGGGGGAGAAGCAGCGCGTCGCGCTCGCGCGCGCCGTGCTCAAGGACGCGCCCGTCGTCTGCTTCGACGAGGCGACGTCCGCGCTCGACACGTCGACGGAGTCGGAGATCATGGGCCACCTCCGCGACCACGCGAGTGCGGGATCCAAGACGACGCTCATCATCGCCCACCGCCTGTCGACGGTCGCGGACGCGGACGAGATCGTCGTGCTCGACCGGGGCCGCGTCGCGGAGCGCGGCACGCACCACGACCTCATGCTCTACGGCGGCAAATACGCGGGGCTCTGGGCCGCCCAGGCCGAGCGGGGCGACGGGCCCGAGGGGGAGACGGCGAGGTAGCTCCGGTAAGGCGTCGCCGCTGACCTTTGCAACAAGTCGACGAAGCACTCAACGCAGGCGTCGATCGTCGTCGCCGAGCGAGTATTGAGGTGGCACCAGTGGGGCTCTCGCGTCAACCAGCAGTCGCCAGACCGCGGACGCGACAGTACCATGCCCGCCACGGAGAGACAAGCGGCGCGGCGCGGCGTCGCCGCCGCCGCCGCTCTCATGAGCCTGTTTTTCCTGCCCCTCGCCCACCCCTTCCGCCCGCCGCCGACGTTCCCGCGCACCGGGCACCGCCGGCCGAGCGCGCTGCCGCTCGAGATGGGCCGCGACCTCTACGAGGTGCTGGGCGTGCCCCGGGGCAGCGACGCGCGGACCATCAAGCGCGGCTTCCGGGAAGCCGCGCGGAAGTACCACCCGGACGTCAACTCGGAGCCCGACGCGGCGGACGTCTACAAGGAGATCTCCCAGGCCTACAGCGTGCTGAGCGACCCGGACAAGAAGGCGCGCTACGACCAGTTCGGCGAGGCGGGTTTGGGCGGCGGCGGCGGCGGCCCGGGCGGCGGCGTCGAGGTGAACCTCGAGGACATCTTCGACTCGTTCTTCGGCGGCGGCGGCGTCGGCGGGTCGCCCTTCGGCGGCGGCGGCGGCGGCTTCGGGCGGGCCCAGCGGACGCGGGGCCCGGCGCAGGGCGACGACCTGCGCGCGGACCTCGAGCTCGACTTCAAGACGGCGTGCTTCGGCGGCCAGGAGAAGGTTCGCATCACGCACTTGGAGTCCTGCGGCAAGTGCAAGGGCGACGGCATCGAGCCGGGCGCCAAGGTGACGACCTGCGACACCTGCCGCGGGTCGGGCGTCGTCATGCAGGTCACGCGGACGCCGCTGGGCAACTTCCAGACGCAGTCCGCGTGCCCGACGTGCCAGGGCACGGGCCAGTCCGTCGAGGCCTACTGCGCCAAGTGCAACGGCCAGGGCGTCGAGCGCAAGGCCAAGCAGGTGAGCGTGACCATCCCCTGCGGCGTCGACGCGGGCAACCGGCTCCGCGTCGCGGGCGAGGGCGACGCGGGGCCCCGCGGCGGCGCCGCGGGCGACCTCTACATCTTCCTCGACGTCAAGAAGGACCCGATCTTCACGCGCGACGGCGTCGACGTCGCCTCGTCCATGGAGGTCTCCGCCGCCGACGCCGCGCTCGGCTGCTCCGTCGCGACGCCGACGCTCGACGAGGACGCGTGCGAGGTCAAGGTGCCCGCGGGCACGCAGCCGGGCACGAAGCTCCGCCTCAAGGGCAAGGGCGCGCCGGCGCTGTCCAAGCCGGCGCAGCGCGGCGACCTCTACGTCACCGTGAACGTCAAGGTCCCCACGAGCCTCTCCGACGAGGAGCGCCGGCTCATGGAGCAGCTCCGCGACCTCCAGGCCAAGTAGGCAAAGGGGCCCGCGGGTAATACTCACGACCCCCGCTGGCTCTCGGGCGGCGAGCAGGGCGGCGCCTTGTCCAGGAGGAGCGGCCGCACGAGGCTCGCGCGGCCGCCGTTGTCCGCGGACGCGCGCGTCGCCGGCGGCGCCTGGTACGCGCCGGGCACGAGCGCCGCGGCGCCGTGCTTCTGGGTGCCGCCGCCCTCGACCTTGACCTGCGCGGCGCGGGGCGGGCGTCCGCGCGGCGCGCGCCGTCGGGGGACGCACCCGCCGGTTCCACTGGAGCAGGTCCTGGACGTCGGAGTAGCCCGTCGTGCGCTTGTAGTAGTGCTCCACCTAGGCATGGGCGCGCGTCTTTTTCCATCGGCGACAAACCGTTTCTCGCGCGCTGCCGTGCGGACGCGCGCCGTCGGCGGGTGCGAGAAGGACATGGCGCCGCCGGCGGCGTCGAGAGAGCCGGTCGAGGGCGCTAAGGAGCACGGCAGCGTATCAAGGAGCACGGCACGTCCAAATTAAATCTTCCGGCGTGCAGGGCTGGCGGCGGCGCGTTGTTTGACGGCCAAAAGCGGCGGGTGCCGGCGTGCGGCGCCATGTCGTCGCGGCCGCGGTCCCGCGACGTGGGCGGCCTGACGCCGCTGCAGCCGGCCCTGCGCTACCGGACGCCGTCGGGCGCGGCGCGCACGGGCAAGAAGTCCAAGGGCCGGTTGAAGAAGCTCGAGCAGGGCTGGGACGGCCGGCGGTCCACGGGGCTGCCGGACTACAACGCGCTGAGCGACAAGTACTGCGTGTTCACGCGCGGCGACGCCTTCCGCAAGCACTTCACGGAGATGGTCGGGTCGAACTCGCTCGAGCTCCTGGAGCAGTCGCGGCCGACGATGCCGACCAAGGCCGAGAGCCTGCTGCCGCGCGCGGCCGCGAACCTCGCGCAGCTCCCGACCTTCGAGCTGCCGCTGACGAACCTGGAGGTCGGCGGCGGCGCGACGGCGCGGCGCGACGACGGGCCCGAGAGCGCCTTCCCCGAGGACGACATGCCGCCGCTCTACGCGGCGTGGCCGAGCCCGCACGGGAGCCGCGAGTCGCCCAAGCCCGAGGAGCCCCAGCCCGTGTCCTACGTCGAGGAGCCGCGCACGCCCTGGGCGGACCCGCGCTTCGAGCCGCCGCCCACGGACGGCGCCGCGCCCCAGATCGCCGTGCGGCTCCGGGGCGCGCGGAACCCCGTCGGCTTTGTGGACTACGACGCGAACGACACGCTCCGCGACCTCCGGAAGACGGTCGAGGAGGCGGAGATGCTCCCGGGAACGAACCCGCGGTTCTCCTTCGTCTACGCCGACGGCGTGCCCATCTCGTTGAAGGAGGAGCCGAAGACGAAGGTGCGGTCGTTCGGCGCGCACGTCTTCGTGTCGCTCCAGAAGGGCGAGGCGCCGCGCCGGAAGCGGGGCGTCGTCGACCCGGCGACGGACGACGAGGCCATGGAGGCGCGGGTCCACCCGAAGACGTCCCTGGCGTCGAAGAAGGCGCAGAAGCGCGACTACTCGCACCTGCCGGTGGTGTCGTACGCCGCGGCGTTCCGCGGCGAAAAGGCCGAGGTGCTCAAGCTGATCCGCGAGATCTGCGGCGGCAAGGCGACGAAGATCCAGGCCCAGGTGCGCAAGACGCAGGCCGCGACGCGCGTCGGCATCATCCGCGACGGCGGCGACGACGCGGCCGCGCTCCTGGCGAAGGCGCGCGCCGCGGACGCGAAGGCGGCCGCCGACGCCGACGCGTTGAAAGCCGAGGCCGACGCGCGCGCGCGGGCCGTGCGCGACGCCGAGAAGCTCGCCGAGGAGGAGGCCGCGCGGCGCGACGCGGAGCGGAAGGCCCGCGAGGCCGAGGAGGAGCGGCTGCGGCTGGAAGACGAGGAGCGGAAGCACGCGATCGTCGAGGACGACCTGATGCTCCAGACCGCGACGTCGCAGCAGCTCTCCGGCGGCCCCCTCTTCGAGGGGCCCCTGCTGGAGCCCGGCGGCGTCGGGGCCGTGCTCTACAAGGGCGCCGTGCAGGACGCGAGCGGCACGCACCTCCTGCTGTCGATGATGGACCACCCGGACGGCGTCGTCTTGGAGGCGTACGGCGCGCTCTCCGACGACCGCTACGACGGCGCCGTGCGGAAGGACGCGTTGGTCGAGCAGGTGCCCGACTGGGAGGCCTTCGAGCTCGAGCGGCGCGCGGCCGTCTGCGCGGCTTTAGCGCTGACGACGCGCGTCCACGGCGACCGGGTGGCCTGCGACGTCGCCGCGTTGGGCCTGTCGTCGCGCGAGTGGTTCCCGGCGCAGATGCCGGGCGCCGGCAGCTTGGACGGGGCGTCGTTCACGCGGGAGCTCGATAACGAGCGCCTCACGGAGGACCCGCTGCTCTGCAGCGCGCTGCGGGAGCTCGGCGGCGCGGACGTGCTCGTCGAGGCCTACGAGTCCGGCGACGACGTGCTCATGAAGGCCGAGACCTACGCGGACCTGGAGATCAAGCCCGCGTCCTGGGCGGCGACGGGCTACGGGCCGCTGACGTACCTGCTGCGCCCGGAGAAGGAGGCCCTCGCCGCGGTGCTCTGCAGCGACGTCCTCGTCGGGCCCGACGGCAACCTCGCGCTCGCGGTCCGCGCGTCGCCGCGGCCGGACATCAACGCGCTGCTCGCGCCGACGGGCCCGCAGAAGCCCGCGCCCAAGGTCGAGCCCTACGTGCCGCCGGGCGGCGACGACGGCTTCTACGACGATGGTTCCGAGGAGGAGGCGGCCGCGGAGCAGCCGCCGGAGAAGGTGCCCGCGTTGCTCGCGAAGAAGGCGCCGGCGGAGAAGCGGGCGGCCGCGCCGAAGAAGAAGCCCGCGGCGCCGAAGAAGAAGGCCTTCCCGGCGCCCGCGCCGGCCGTCGCGGCGCCGGGCGAGCCGCCCGCGGGCGGCGCGGCCGTCGCGGACCCCATCGTCGACGCGCCGCTCTTCGAGGACGCGCCGCCGGCGGCGGCCGCCGCCGACGCGGCCAAGGGCGGCGCGGCGGCGGAAGAGCCGCCCGCGGTCGCCGAGGAGCCGTCCGTGATCTCGACGACGCTCGCGCCCGCCGAGGACCCGCAGGCGGACGCGCCCGTGCTCCACGCGGCGGCGACGGCCGACGGCGGCGCCGTCGACGTCGTCCCCGCCGACGACGGCAAGCTGCGCCTCGTCGCCGAGGACGGCAGCGCCGTCGAGGTCGGGCAGGACCAGTGGGAGGCGACGGGCTACGGCGCGCTCGAGGACCTCACGCCCGCGGAGCAGATGGCGCTCGCCGCGGAGGTGTCCCAGGCGTCGCGCGTCGACGCCGAGGGGTCCGTCGTGCTCGAGCTCGACACGCGCGTGGGCGAGCTCGTCGAGGACCAGAAGCTCGCGCGCGCGTTCCCCGCGCCCGCGCCCGCGCCGGACGGCGCGGCCGCCGAGCTGGCGCCCGAGGACTGCGCGCCGCCGCCGGACCTGCCCGCGGGCGCCGACGGGACCTTCGTGCCCGAGGCCGACGACGTCTTCGTCGACGCCGACGGCGACGCGGCCTACGTGGACCCTCGGACGGGCGCCGCGGTGAAGATCGAGGCGCGGTTCCGCACCAAGGCCGCGCAGCAGCAGTGGGCCGAGCAGAAGAACGCCGTCGTCAAGCTCCAGTCGTCGAACCGCCAGCTCCTGGCCAAGCAGAAGGTCGCGGGCATCCGGGCCGAGAACTCCGCGGCGACGACCTTGCAGTCGGCGCAGCGCGCGCACGACGCCAAGGCGCGCGTCGACGGCATCCGGGCCGAGAACTCCGCGGCGACGACGCTCCAGTCCGCCCAGCGCGCGCACGACGCCAAGGCGCGCGTCGACGGCATCCGCCAGGACAACGCTGAGAACGCCGCCGCGACGAAGCTCCAGGCCGCGAACCGCGGGCACGCGGCGAAGCAGCACTGGGACGAGCAGCAGGCCGCCGTCGCGACCCTCGAGGGCGCCCAGCGCTGCAAGAACGCGCGCCGGAAGGTCGGCGAGAAGCGCGCCCAGAAGGGCGCGGCCACGAAGCTCCAGACCGCGGAGCGCGGGCGGCTCGCGCGGCACCGCGTCGACGCGATGCGCCTGGGCCTCGTCTCCGGGCCCGCGCCCGCGCCGGGCGAGGCGGGCTACGACGGCTTCGAGGAGGACGGCGACTACGACGACTTCGAGGAGTACGACGACGACTTCGGCGACGAGGGCTTCGAGGACGGCGCCGCCGGCGAGGCGCCCGCCGGCGCGCCCGCGGCCGCGCCCGGCGGCGACGCCGCGGCCGCGGCGCCCGCGCCCGCGGCGGCGCCCGGGAGCCGCAAGTCGCGGCGGTCCGTGCGCAAGCCCCAGGAGCGGGCGACCATGGGCGCCGAGGACGCCCCGGCGACGCCCGCCGAGGCCGCGGCGCCGCCGACGGCGCCGCCCGCGGCCGACGAGCCCGCGCCGGGCACGGCCGTCGGCGACGCGGTCGTCCTCGAGGAGCCCGCGGCGGCGACGCCGCCGCCGACCGCGGCGGCGACGGCGGGCCCGCCGCCGCCGCGCGTCGACGACGCGGAGCGCGTCGCGAAGATCGCCGCGGCCGTCGCGGCGGACGCCGTCGTCTACCGGCCCGCGCCGAAGAAGAAGACGGAGGCCGTCGCGCCCCAGACGCGGCCGCGGTCCGCCAAGGAGCGGCCGAGCGAGGGCCCCGCGCCGCCCGAGGCCCGGGCCGCGTCCGCGCCCGCGCCCGCGCCCCCCGGCGGCGCCGCCGCGGCCGCGCCGGCCGCCGCCGCCGTCGACGCCGCGCTCGTCGAGGAGGCCGAGGCCGTCGCGGGCCACGCCTACGCCGCGGCGCTCGAGGCCACGGGCGACCCGGCCGTCGCGTCCGAGGTCGCGGCCGCCGCCGCGGGCGCCGTCGCGGCCCACAGCCTCGCCGACGCGGGCGTCGACGAGTCCGTCGCCGCGGCGATCGTCGAGCGCGACGTCCCCGCGGCGCTCGGCTTCGGCGCGCCCGCGCCCGCGCCGGGCGTCGCG